GTTGTTGTAACTTGTAGTTTTGAACTAAAAACTACATCTTATGTAAGTTCTCGTGAATATTCCATGCATGCTAATTGCTATGGGAGTGTGTGCTTGTTTGAAGTTTTTTGTTTTGTTTTGTTGTAGTTTTGAACTTTATTTACTCTCTCTATTGATGTTGATGGATATCCATGTTAGCTTTTTAGATAATCGGCTGGAGTATGGTGACTAATGAAAGAACCTTTTAGGATAGGTAAGAGATGGAAATGAAACTTATACTTGCATCTGTATTAGTGTGAATGATACCTGTATTTGTTTTTTTTAAATAAGAAACACGTATATTTATGTATTTGTGTTAACGAACTTTGGGGTTCCCTAGAAGTGTCACATGTACTTTGTTGCATTTGTGTGAAAGAAACTTAAGTTTCTTCTTAGTTACCTGGGAAAAAATCTAAAAAATTCTCATCCCAACTGCAAAGCCATGTGTGTGACTTCTAATTTTAGTTTTATTTGGCCTCATGCTTCTTGTATCACACATTACCTGACTGTATTAGCAGGATATAACTGTAACAAAATGTTGAGTGCACTGTTCAAATTCCTTCATACTCTCTCATCAAAGAAAAAAAAACCCATGTTATATTAGAGCGTTTAATTTCATTTTTCTTTTTTACATGGAGTAGTTTGCGTACAACCTTGTGTGTCCGATTCAAGAGCGAGGTTGTGGCATGTGGGGTAGTATATGCTGCTGCTAGAAGATTTCAAGTACCCCTTCCTGAAAATCCACCTTGGTGGAAGGTGTTCGATGCAGAGAAGTCGGGCATTGATGAAGTCTGTCGAGTTCTAGCACACTTGTATACCCTTCCGAAGGCACAATATATCCCAGTCTGCAAGGATGGAGACTCATTTACATTTTCTAACAAGTCATGGGATTCACAATCTCTTCCAGTCTCCAAGGTCTTCATATTTTGCTTTGCTTATTTTTTATGATTTTGTCTTTTTGTTTAGTTAAAGGATTTTGAGATTCAAATCTTCAAAATCCACTTGGCAGTTGCACCACTTGATCGAGCATGAATGCAAATATTGCAGTTTTGAGCAGAAAAACTCCATTTACTTGGAAGTTTGTTGCCATTGCCAAGGAGGAAAATTGGAGTGCAGTGTGGTGTTTTTGGTATAGACCTCCGTTGCATAAGTTGATTCTTCATCTTCCCTTTCGCAGGAAGTTCCACAGAGTAGCCCAGCAGCCAACGACGATGTTTCTGCTGTCAAAGTCACTCCAGGAACCAATCCTGAATCAGGTGGGTCCAAAGATGAGTTGGTTAAGTTAGCCCTACACAAACTCAAGGAATCTAAGAAGAGTGATGATGAATCCAAGAGCATTCCTTCAGAAGCCACTGCCAGGGAGGAGCTCGTGCCGAAATCAAAATCTGATCGAAGAGCTGATATTGGTGGAGAAAGGAGCAAGGACAGAGAGAGGGACAGGGATAGGGAAAGAGAGAGGGACAGAGACAGAACGAAGTCCCGAGATCGGGATAGGGGCCGGGATTCTGACAGAGAACGTGAGAGAGATGATGCAGACAGAGACAAAGTCAAGGATCGAGCTCATCGATCGAAGGATAGAAGCAAGGAATCAGGTTAGATTCTGAATATGATTGTTTCATGCACTTTGAGACAAAAGAATATATATGGACTTCAAATTGAATAACAATATTTGCAATAATAACTGCAGGAGGGCATTTGGAGAAACCAAGACACCACTCATCGCGAGGTACTGGTTTATTTATTTTTCCCTGATATTTGGTTAGAGGGTCTTCCCCCTACTTCTATTTGTCTACTTACTTTTCACGTTTAATGAAAATTTACTTGGTTCTCGAGTCTCTGTGGTCTTTACTATGTGATGGAAATTCTTCGCTTTTTGTTTTTGTTTTGTTTTTTTCAGATCGTGATTACCATGGCTTGTCTTATTCTTCACGCGATAAAGATCGCCATAGGCATCATTGATACAACGGGATCAGGTGAGCCCGGTGCCCGCTACACTTAAACTGGAATCACGAGCTAGGTATTGATTTGCATACTTTCTACTGATGTACATATTGTGCCCCGTGCCCGCTACAAATTCCATCGACTCATGGGGGATGTTGTTGTACTAACAAAAGGTCACCGAAGCCCATGTTATTAAAAGTTAATTTACGTTAACATTTTTATGAAGTTATTAATACTTATTATAGCTACAATTACAATTATTGTATAATCTATAATAGCAGTTTTTTAAAGCTATAAAAATTTGTGTAGCAATTCTTCAAACATCAAAACATTTTTATGACTTTTGTAAGTGTTGGTCTTTCATAGCATGGGTTGTCATGACTTTGCTCAAAATGCCATAAAATCTCTACAAAGTTATTATAGGTCTTCTTTGTGGCAGTGCTTGTGTTCATATTGATCAATACTTTATTAGAAACTCTTTTTAAAAAAATTTAATCTAAAAAGAATTTTTATTCAAAAGTATTTCTAGAAAAAAAAAAATTCTAAACTACAATGTTTGACAAACTCACCTTTAAGTTATAAATTCTTAAATTTTAAATTAGGTGGACTAAATTGTTACTACCGTTAAACTGTGAAAACAAAATCATGACATACTTAAATATATTGACTTAACCATTAATTCTTTAAATTATATGGGCTAATTAATTATTACACGCCAACATGTTGTACTAAAAAAAAGGTTTATAGACTAAATAACATCAAATTTATTTTATTGCCAAAATAATGATAATAAGAAAAATAAAATAAAATGAGAAAAAAAAGAACCAAATGCAATCAATTAAGTTTTCAATACTTATTTTAATTTTTAATTTTTAATTTTTCTGTGGTCGCATTATATGTTTAAAACGGAAAAGATCATGGGCACAGACCATGAACCTTGTAAAATAAAAAAAGATTATTTTTTTCAAATTTGTGCCACTAGAACACAACTCATCTAAGGGAGAGTGGAACTTTTCACTAAACTACTTTATTTCTTTTAAATATCTAGAATTAAAGTGAAATGTTTTGAATTAGAAAAAGAGTATAAAAAATAGCTGAACTTCAGTCCGTGAGTATTTTTTTAAAGTACAACAAATGTGGAAATGGAAGATTGAACCTCGAACTTTTAGATATATGTCAATTATCGATGAATTATTGTTCGTTTTGACGATGAGTGACAACATTTAATACAGATTCACCAAATAACTATAAAAAAGATGATAATATGAACTGGAACCCAATTGTAGTATTAAAAAACAAAAGAAAAAGAGATAGCAAAAAATTGGTAGAACTTTATTTATTTATTCCTTTTTCTTTTCTTAATTACAAATCATGCATCTTCCTACACAGTTATTGGGCAAAAATTAAAATAAAAAGAAACAAAAAAGAGAGAGAACATTTGTTTAAAGTTTTGTATGTGTAATATTAATGGCATCCAACAAATTGGTGTCGTGTGTAATGCACACTCCTCTTTCTTGAGAATTGATAAAAGTAGAACTCTTTTTGCTCCTTTCGCATGCTCTTCATGATGATTAATATAATGTTCATATATTTCTCGACTTTTCGAATTATTTTCTTTTGATTTTTAAATTTTCAAAAGGTGTATTTTAATCTTTCTAACTTCCAAAACTTATGCTATTCTAGAATATCAACTTTTTCTTCCAACAAATTAATGATCACATGACTTCGAGTATATGCATTAATGCGTTGRCATGAGCATGCATGTATTTGAACCATAYAAATGTTGGGAATGTGACTAAATTAAGTCTCACATTGACTAGATAAGAGGAAGATTATGAGTATTTAAGTGAGAGATAATATTTCTATTGGTATGAGATCTTACGAGTGAAACCAAAAGCAAAACCATGAGAACTTATGCCTAAAGTAAACAATATCATGCCATTGTGGAATGTATGGAGGACTCGTTGTCCTTAACAAGTGGTATAAGAACATGATCTAAATTTTAAACCTAGTTGTGTGTGAATGAACTCAGTTACCAAACAAAAACGGATTTATTAGAGGTTTCTTTTTGTAGTTGACACCAGGTTCCCTCAATGTGTGATATGTGTGGTTGTGCTATATTTGGATGTGTTTGGCAACTCTATATAAGAGGAAGCTCTCCTTGCTTGTTGGGAGTGGATGGATGAATGACTATTTGATGYAAGATACAAGTGATATTTTGTTTGTGGAGATGATTGTTAGAGTGCAAACAAAGTTTTCTACATTGGTTAGGCAAGATCCATAGTAGGGAAACAATTATCTCCATTGGTATATGAGATATTTTTGGTGGAACAAAAAACAAAGCCACAAAGATTATGCACAAAGTTGACAATATCATACAATTGTAGAGATACGTGGTGGTCTGTTGTCCTTAACAAGTGGTATTAGAGTCATGGTCTAAATCTAACTGTGTCGATCAAATCCTTAGAATTCTAACAAAAAACTAGTGAACCTCRTAATCGTATGAAAATTGTGGATGAATCTCCAAATCAGACAAAAAGTGCTCTGAGTGGCGAGCAAAACAAGCTCTATCATGTTTGGTAGACTGATAGAATGCGAAGGATAGCTCTATTAAGTTAGGTAGACTGATACGAAGAGGATGCTTTGTTTAAGGAGAGGCAGAGCCGACTTAAGCTATAGGCGAGTAAGGCAATCGCCTAAGACTCCCAATTCTAGAAGCGTCTCGTATTTTTAATATAAATATAATATATGTATAGTATTTTAGTTTTTAATTATAAATGAAATTTAAAATATAAAATAATATACTTTCCATAAAATTTTCCTTATAATATTGAAGATACAAACTAATAATTCTCTGGAAAATTAAAAATCCATGATCGAGGAGCTCATAAAATTTACATCATTTCAAATTGGTTAACTTTTATCTTTTTTTTTTTCTCTTTGCAATTTTTTTCAAATTTCTTTAAAAATATCAATCATTAATATAACTTCCTCAAAACTCTTCAAGTTTATGTTGGTGACTGTCCATATTTCTTATATTTTTTTCACAAATAAACCCTTTCAACTTCTCTTTAGAAAATCCGTAAATATATATTTGGTAGCTGGTTAATAATTTTAACTTTCTCTCTCCCCCTCACCCTCTCTCAATCTCAAATCATGTTGCCAAATAGAGCAACCTCACATCAGAAWGTTAAGACATATGTATCTAATCATAAGGTTYAGAGTTCGAATCCTCATTCCATAGAGAACSGTTATGGGTCATGATGAATTATCATCATATGTTAAAGAGAAAAAGTTGATAAGCATTATGTTTTTCTAATCACTCCGATGTAATTATCCCAAAAAAAAGTGGGGTTCCTTAAAAAAATTAAATTATAAAATTGGAAGAATTTTTTTTTATGGGATTTCTCCACCTCGAGAACCACCATTGGTATATTTTATGGTTTTAATTTCCACTCATATTTAATTGTGAATTTACTCTAATTTCCTAATCCATTCTTCTCTCTCATCACTTTAAAATTAATTAAAAGTAAATTTGGAATTACAAATATTTTACTCACTTACAAGATTTGATGATGGTTGATATTTATTAATTTTTTCAACCCCAGAGAGAAAATATWGAGAGATTCTGTATGCTTCTTGTTTTGTACCAGCCACTTCTCTCTTTCTTACATTTGGTTGAAGTTTTATTTATTTATTTTTTCATCATTATTATTTGAAAAGATTCGAATCATATATATTTTTTAATACGTGGGTGGAGATTGACCTTACAACCCCTGGTTGGAGATATGYGTCAATTATCGTTGAGCTATATATTTACTTTGACGATTCCAATCATATTTTAATTTCTAGATTTTGAGGTGATTTTTATAACTATAATTTAAATTAAAAAACTCTATTGTATGCCGATRTTTAATACTTTATAAGTGTTTTATTCTTAGCCCTAAACTCCACATTAACTTCACTAAAATGACCTAATTTATGTATTATATTTAACAAAAACCTTAGACCAACCTCTTTCAAATCTATATTGGCTCAGATATATATTAACTTAAAACATAAGTCCATATTACCTATATTAGTAGAAATTAGTGGAGAATTTATAAGGTTTAATTTGCAGTCCCCAACTCCCCAAGTCCTACTAGAGTTTGGTCAATTAATATTTAAGTCCATTAAGTTTCATCTAAGAGATATTAATTTGATTTAAAAAATATATGTAAGAGATATTAATTAATTGTGAAAGGGCACCATGTGGCTTGTGGGTGTAAGTTGCATGTCACAAGTTCAAAAAAATTTAGGCAAAAATATAGTTTTGACCTAAAAAGTATTTACCCAACTTTTAATTTGTTTCTTAAAGTTTAAAAAGTTGTATATCAATCTCTCACATTTTAATAAATTTTGAATTTGTCTTTACTTCGAAAATAAATATAATAATTATGCATGTGTTGATACGTGTTTTTGGATGGGGTGACACGTCAGTTGTTGTCTTACATGGCGTTAATGATGTGTGCTTCATTTGGTACATGCAAACAAAAACTTGCACGTGTGGTGCTCGACCACGTATACTTAGAAGTTTAAGTTAGTAATAAGTCTATTGGTTTCCAACCGAGCTTAATTAAAATGCAAGAGATCAATTGCACGTACCTTTGAAAAGGTGAGACTTCGTCTTTTATAAAAGTTGAGCATTTTTTTTCTGGTAGAAAATTGAAAGATCTCTTGACTGTCGTTCTTTTCCTGRATGTCAGTGGATTTCCTGCTTCCCAAGTTTGGAACTAATTAGTTGAGCCCTCTCTATGATGTTCGAGGCCATCCCTCCTCGTCTTTCAGGTGTTCGAGCTAATTAAGGTTTGGACATATGTGTCCAAGTGGAAGAGGACCATGTAATTGATGAAAAGACTGAATTAATGTGGATTGTGGTTTAGCTCATATATATGTCACATGTTAAAAATATTTAGAAGGCTTTTTCTTTTTTGAAAAAAAAACGCTTGATATTTAACAAAAATTTAAAAATAAATATATTATATGAAATCATTTAAAATTTTCAAAATTTGACTAAATCTTAAGGAAGCTTTTAAAAACATGGAAGATAATAAACAATATTATTATTAATTAATTTGTTCTTCCTTGAAAAACTAGAGAGGTAAAAACTCATTATTAAATTTCTTAAATAAATATTTTAATAAATATCTTGTTCTTTTGACAACCTAAATATAGTAGGCTTAGACGGTTGCCCATTAAAATTAGTCGAACTGTGCGTAAATTAACTTGAACGCTTACAAATATATAAAAAAAAAATTATGAGCTCTATTATTGTGCAAGTCTCATACCATATAAAACGAGTAGCTGCATATAGGATATTAACATCTACTTCTATATTTTACTCTCAATTAATTGTTTCCATTTTTGAGGGTCAAAAGGGTTCCTAAAGTATATATGGTACGTAGAAAAAGAACCTAACAAGTATAGGTTTCATGTAATTTTTTTTCTTTTGTTAATTAGGATTTATAATTAATTTTTAGGTAACAATGAAATTTTGGTTAATGGAAGAATTATTAATATAATAAAATAGCTCCGAAGAACTCCTTTTTTATGATACTACTAAAAGATTTTCTGTAGACATGAAATACTAAAAATCAAAATGTGATAGAGAAAAAGTGAGAAAAAACTAATTAACTTTCCCACACCCTCCAAAAAGAAAATAATCCACAATATTAAAAGAAAAATATTATAGTGTTCACTGTTCACATGATAAAAAGTCAGTAAATAGAGAGAAAAAAATCTTAGAGCAACCAATTTTTTTTTTTCTTTTGAGGCAAGAGCAACCAATTAATATGATATTATGTCTTCAAATTTGGGGACCTAACTTATAAAAAAGGGTAGCCCTAATTTCATTAATGCATCATGTATTAAAAGTTTTTTTATATATATATAATTAAAGAGAGAGGTTATATTTTTATATAGATACACAGATATAAAAAGGGAAATCTTTATTATTATTTTTCGCTAATATTGGAATCTTCATCAGGTTTTCATTTTAGTTACATTGTATCTAAAGTTTTTATTTTTTTATTATTCTTCTTCTTTTATCCCTTCTAGATTCTTTATTAACAACTTGTAAAACAACATTCATTTTGAACGATGACACTTTTCATGCCTGATCTTAATATATGTTATAAAGTTAGTTATATACTTTATGTATTTTTTTCAACAAATGAAATGGTTTATTGTGTTGATGCTGGATTTTGCCGAGCTGAATAGATCAGCCTGCGTCGAACTCGATCGGACAACCAAAATCGAATTGGACGGGTAGTTAACTTATATTATAAACTTTCGTTGTTAGGTCTCTTATATTTTCAACGTGGGATCCTTAACATGTCTTCTCAAGAAAGTGTTTCTTTTGTATTCACCAATCTAGGTCGAATTCCATTTTAAAATCAAATGCTCATTTGAGCGTTTGGACTCTGGTACCATATCAATATTCATGAGTTTCGTTTCAAAATTAATTAGTAAGGAGATGAATAGTCCATTTATATCGATGTGGGATCCTTACCTAGGTGGGTCCTCTCCATTGAGTGGCCAGTTGAACAGATTTGACCTCATAGAAGTGATTGGTCCACATATGATGTCTAATTTTAACCTCCAACCAAAATGCTTTCAAACAAGTATATATATATACATATACATACACATGCGTGTGTGTTGCAACAACATTGCTGATCAGATTAAAGTTTGATAGAGCTTCAACATGGGAGACGACAATTGGGAAAAGCTTCAGCTGCCAAGTGCTAACGTTGGAAGATTGATGAAGAAGATAATTCCTCAAACGTCAAAGATTTCTAAAGAAGCCAAACAGACAATGCAAGAATGTGCAACAGAGTTCATCAGCTTCGTGACAAGTGAAGCTGCAGAAAAGTGTAACAGAGAGAATCGTAGAACTCTCAACGGAGAAGACATTTATTGGGCTTTTGGTGCTCTTGGCTTGGATAACTATGCCGACGCTACCGCCAAGTACTTGCTCAACTACAGGGACGCCCAAACAATGAAGATTCATAACAAACATTGTGGATTTCAACAACAAGGAGAACATAACAACCATGACGACAACGGTGACGACGACGGGAAATTTTATCTGGCTAACAAGGGTGAAAGTTCTCAAACAAATTAGCAAACTATGTATATTATCTAGTATGGCTCGTTTAGTAATGTTTCCGCTTTTGTATTTCTGTTTCTATTTCCTTATTTTTAACGAAGAAAAATAGAGTATCTCCAACACTTATGCATTCAAGAATGATAAAACTATGTTTTTATTTATGTTTTGGAACAAATTGGTAATGGGAACAGGAATAAACATAAGTAGTTGTAAAATGCTTAGATTATTTCTTAAGAAAATTCGAAATGAGAAACGAGAAACGGGAGCGTTATCAAACAGACACCCAATGTCTTCAACCAATGTTCCAATTTCGTTTTCTCCGAACTAATTTTCATTAAGATCTATAGCCTCCCGGGAATCTCATTCTAAAATCACTTGCGAGAGACCTAATCTTTTGACGTAGAACTTCACGGAGGGCACAAATCCTAGCCAACAGGACAGTCTCTACATCATGAGAAGAAGAATGTAGCTCACTTATATTATAAACCTTTGTTAGGTCTCTCATCTTTTCAATGTGTGATTTTATTAACAATATCATTTAATTGTTTGATGGTAGAATAATGACACAATAACATCATGGATCAAAATAGACATTTTGAACATTTAAGTACTAAAATAAAATAGGAACATATAGGACTCTTTGGTAGTTAGGTTTCCGTTTCTTGTTTTTTACTTCTAATTCACAATTTTTTAGAATTATAAATGATTGGTAACTGTTTCTGTTTCTTGTTTCTCATTTTAAGAAATGTTTCCAAAATTGGATAGAAATTTTAAAAATTAAACACGACAAAATCACTCACAATCTTTTAATTGGAGATATATATTAATTACGGCTGAGCTAGCTATATGCTCACTTTGTTGGCCACGGTTATTTCATTTTGATTATTATACATATATTTTAAAACATAAGTCATGTGATGTCTCACATAAGTTTTTTTTATTAAACACRATACAAAAGTTTAATACAAYGACAAACAAAATTTTAAACAAAATTCCTAAGCAAAAAAAGAAAATTGGGTAGAATTAAGTATGAAAATAGTTCAACGGAATGCCAAACACTTAGGGGYCATTTGTTTCGTGGGAATCCAAGATATCCATTGGACGGACATCTGTATTCCCACGTTTGTTTTGTTGGGAATGTATGATACTTAGGCATCTTGAGATACAAGTTTTGGATGCTTTTTTGAAACGTGGGTATATAAGGTTCTCGTGTTGAGGGCATCGGCTCTTTACATTTTTGCTTCATTTTTTCCATATATTTTCTCTTTCATGAATTTTCTTTATTTTTCCCCCAAAAATTTTTTATTTTAATTTTTAATTTATAATTTAAATAAAATTAATGGACTCATTGTCTAATATTTAATTTTATGCAATTAAATATATTTGTATATTACATTTACATATAAAATAAACTGCAATTAAATTATATAATATCTTGACTTATTTTTAATATTTTGAAKGAATTATATTATTAATAATATTTATTATCATAAATATATAATTTTAAAGCAACAATTTTTTTGACGACCAATATATCTGTGATATTTTTCCTCTTAAAAAAATATAATATGATGGTAAGATAAATAAATTTTACCCAAGATAATACCAATTGTATGATGGCCTTTTTGGAAAAATATTAAAGTTGAAAATGAAATATATATTGAATTAATAGAAATTAATTTATTCTACAAAACAACATATAAAAAAACAAGATATTAAATTAATTCAAATAAATCTATTATATAAAATGAATTTATAAATTATATGAGTATTCGTAAGRGTATTTTTGGAACATTTTATAAATTTAACACATCTCAAAGAACAAACCCTGCAAAACAAACGTGACTATCCAAATATTTCCTGACATCCTTAATAAATTTTCCTACGAAACAAACATGGATATCTGAAGATGTCGGACATCTGAAATTTCGGGCATCTGAAGTTCTAGGCATCGATAGATGTCGGGCATCTATATTTCAGAAAAACAAACGATTCCTTAGAGCCTTGAGGTCCTATTTACTTTGATATTTCAAGTTCGAAACCTACATTAGTCACACTATTGCTCAACCTAGGAAACAAATCAATTATACGGCTCTATTAACGTAAGTATTCACACACGTCATTGATTTCGAAAAATAAAAAAAGTATGGAAATACAAATACCATAGTATGATTTAAACATTAATATATTTTCAACTTATTCTCGAAGGACATTGCTTTTGACTTTTGAGTGATGATTATATGAAAAATCTCAAGAAACTCTGTGACATTTGACCACAGGTAATAGTTTCTAGTAGAGCTTCTTAGTAATTATAGCCATAGGACCAAAAGAAAAAAAAAATCAGAGAGAGAAGTCTAGATCTTTTCATAGATTAACATTAATCTCCAAATCTTTGAAACTTGGGACCAACCTAAAAATGATTAAAGAATATTTTAAGAAAGCTATCAAAATGCATGGATTCTGCTCTTTGATCCAATAGCTTTGAAGGAATGTTTCCTCAAAGAATTGATTAATTAGCATTGCCTTTGGGTTTTGTGTGCAATAATGTATATAAGCTGCAAATTTTTGAGCTATATGTCAAACTATAATATTTTATGTATTAACTAAAGCCTTCATTTTAATCACAATCTTTTATTGCAAATTTTTTAGAGCCAAATTAAATCACACACATGCCTCCATGTGATCATAGAGCCCAAGCAAGTAACTTGCCTTTTGCAACWTTCAATATTATATGTACACATTCATCATCCTTCATGGACTTGCCTCTGAGGCTAATCTAATCATATTCTAAAGTCATGAGAATCAAGATGAATATATATATATATATATATATCCATTTATCTGCACGCACAAAAATTTAACATCGATTTGGTACTCTGTTGAATACACTCCGATACTTAAGTTAGAAATCAAGTAGGGAGTAGATGGGTACATAGTAGAAAAAATATGAAGACAGCAATCTTGAAGGTGAGAGTTTGTTTGAGAGTGTGTGTCGAATTCTCATATGGAATTGTGTAGAGGAATGCGACTTATCTTCATTAGAATTAGTACTCTTTTATTTATATAATATATATAGGGAGAGAGAGACATAGTGCACRGTCCTCCTCCCTCTCCAACGTCTACAAGAGAGCAGATCACTGACATAAGGGATCACACTAAGAGTACGTGGGGATCATTGACATCCTCTGTTTCCCATGTCTCGTAGATAGGGGCACCAAAACAGTGTCTTGAGCAATCCCTTGAAGCGCATCATAGTTTGAGTACAGGGTGTCAACACCCTGCTATTTGTATAGAGTGAGATGAATAAATTATTAAACTAATTACAATTAATTCATATATGTAAAAATTTAAATGGCTAATATATTTGAGCTATTTAGTAAGAATATTGATTAAGCTTGATTGTGGATAATGTGAACTTCTCATTACGTGGCTCATTGAATAGAAACCAACTTAAGATTCTAATTCCTAAGGGATTATGTGAGTTCTAGCATATATGGTTGATTATTGGGATGAACAAAATAGAGATGAAAAACAACGAGAGGAAGCTCCACCGAAAGAAGAAGAGGAAATAAGTCAGACACAATTCATGTAATGTCAGGGTGCCTATGGCAGTACAGTGAGAGCATATATATACAATTAATGTATATATTTCACAATTATAATCCCCAACAAAAATACTATGTTGCCTTGGCTTTTTGTTCCTCATCAAGCTGCAAGTATTGCCCATGAATTGTTTGAGCCTCTCGTTTCTCATATCAAGCCGAGAGAATTCCCCATATTCATTTTCAGGGTATATCAAAAGAACACAAAAAAAATTTGTTGCTCAATAATTTCTTATGTGAATTTGAGACAATCCATGTCAGTCAAGAGTTAGAGACGGCATGAAAGTGAAAACAAAGCAAATTGTTTCATCATATCGCTCTTGGAGGCTTTTCCAACAATGCAGATAGGTAGACTTCATTTTTTGATTTAGGAGCAATAGCCCATTTGTGTTTCTTGTATCTAAACTGCAGAAACATATACATGTAGTCGTCGAGATCCTTTCGATCGCAAAAGAACCGGTCGATCCACAACAAACCTCCTGGCCGTAGAACCCGATCCCAGTCGAAAAGTATGAAATCCAGCAGCAGCATGTCCAGCCAGCCATCCATGAACCCAGTGGTGTGAATCAAGTCCATTGTGTTATCAAATAAAGGAAGGCGTTGGTTTAGTGTCACATAAAGAGGAATCAAACCTCTCAATGCAATAAACTCATTGAAAGGAGCCCCAAGGTTCAAGGCTGTGGTCACGATGGTCACATTTTGTTCTTTCATTCTCGCAGCGAAGCTCCCCGAGCTGATCCCGAAATCCAACCCGACCCGGATCTCCCCCGCCTTCAATGCCAGAACATCCGATAGCACAAAGTCGACCGAAAGAGAGCTATTGGTGACCCATTTTCGCTTCTCTTTCTCCAACTCGAAACAACCGCTACACTTGTTATAACCTCTTCTCGGATTCTTGCTTGACAAGCAAGAAAAGTTCCTACACTGATAGTTACTCCATCTTACATTCCGATCGTCGGGCAACTTCCATAGAGATTCGTTCACCGGATACGGCCTTTGGTAGACCTTCGATGCTCTTGCCAGACACCGTCTCCGGGGCAACGGATCGCAGCCATTGAGCATCAACTTTTGAGCCAAGTTCCAATCATCTTTGCAATAAGAACCAATGTCATAATCCATATAGTCCTCCAATTCCTTCCTATGCAAAACACAAGCATGTCCAATAGTGTTGTATATTTTCTCAGTCATATACATGTTGAGCTTCCCAATTCTACTCTTCTTTGGAGAAATGTACTTTCTTATTTCCTCAACCACAAAATTGTTGATCAAAGGCTCCTCTTGCATATTAGAATTTTGATCATCAATTTTCTCAACCTTTGGTAACCTAATTTGCCTCAAGGCAATGTGAGCATTATAGAGAGGCCTTATAACCTCTTCCTCCAAGTACTTTTTGTGCTCAAGCCTTGTGATGGATCCATTGCTCAACACTTGCTTGTTCTTCTCCATTTCTTCGACAGCGGATTCAAGCTTCGCTTGCAAACCGTCTAGCTGATCGAGCACTTCTTCGACTCGGTCCGACAATGCTTTCACGTCGAAGCTGGCCTCGTAGACGTGCTTCGTGGTGTAAAAGTACCGGCAAACGTCCTCCTTGTGGAAGAAGAATCCAGCAGAGTAGAATTTGAAGAGGCTCAATGTGGTAATGAGGATAACAAGCCCTCCTAATAGAATCTGAAGCCATCCCATGGTTCTTCCAAGCCTGCATTTTGTGTGGATCAGCTTCCTCATTTTCTTAGAGACAAAGTGCAAGAAAACTTTGTCCTTTTTTTTTGCTGCTTAATTCTCTGCCTTCTGACTCCAAGGTTTCAAGCCCTGAACAAACAAAGTAAAATTCCAAGAAATTATAGGAAAAATCTGAATCTTATAGTTTGAAAACCAGTACCATCCTAAATTAACAACATATTCGGAACTTTCGTTTTCTTAGCTATCAAATCATTATCAGACCTAAAAGTTTAGAATATATTTTCTGTTAAGGATCACAGGTTGAAAAGTAAAGGGACCTAAGAATTTATAATATAAGTGGTTCTCTTTTTATTGCCAATTGGTTTTAAGATGGAACCCATGAATATTAATATGATATCAGAGTCAAAAGCTCTAACGAACATTCGGTCCAAGAATGGGACCCGACCAAGATCGATAAGCCAAAAGAGCTACGAACCTAACAAGCATTATACTCTTCTTACCAATTAATAAATATCTCATCAGGTGGGACAGCTATACTTTTTCAACATCCCCTTGTTTTTCTGGACATAGGATATCACACAATCAGCCAAATTAGAAAATACAAAATTTCTAGCATAAGAAACACACCGTCCAAACCATAACAACTAAATTTGAATTTAACTTTGAGATAATTTCGCAGAGATTTCAGTTTGTAGATTGGACCAAAAAGATTTAGTTCATAAGTTGAGTAAATCTATTATTATTTTCTCAACACACATCAACGGGAGAAATTCAGGAAACTTGTAATTAATTTGATGAATTATCATTTCACAAATTTTCGTCTTTGATATTGTAAATATTACAATACAATATTTCATTTACTTTTCTTTGTAATTATCTCAGCAACCAAACAAATTCTATGAAAGTAAACAGAGAAAATGGCTGCAAAGTTGAACTAGCATTTAATGGGGATTGAAAGTTGAGAAGTTTATTTCTATTTTCTTACCTGAATTCATTCAAACCCAGATGGAAATCTTTCAAGAAATGCATCAAATTGAAGTCAAGTTCCCAAAGGATTTGAGACCATTCATTGAACTGAAACACAAGAGAAGAAAGGGGTTTTCCCATTGTTTAMTTCTGATTCAGATCCAACTTGAAATTTGAAACAATTCCCATATGAAACTTTAGAGCTGGAAATTCGTAGAAATTAAGGTATCTTCTATTTTACTCATTGGTTTCCCATAGATTCATGAACTGAAATTATTAATTTACTGATTAATTATTAATCTATCAACTTGGTTCTTGGATTCATGAGTTGAACGAGCACAAATCTCGAGGGTAGAAACCCATGCTTTCCTTGAAGGTAGAAGGCMTACTTTATTGCATTAAGTCGGGTTAGACAAATTTATAACCCAAACAATTGAGTTAGACTAAAATGTGATTGAGAGAATCAAACCTCTCCAATCTCTAAGGAATTAGTAAAATATATTAATTATTGAGTTAAAGCTATTTGTACCATTTAATTTTGAATTAGTTTATTTTCATAAATTATGAATATATGCTATAACGAGAATTTCTTTAGTACCCAACTTATTATGCTCTTTGGAAGATTGCAATAAAATCTAATTTCTAGGTGATTTGGTTAAATAATCAGGTTACCTTTGTTAGCAAGAACTTTGTAATGTTTTGTTTTCGGTTTATTCAAATTAAATTTGGGTCCGCTTTAAACGTTTTCAAAAGAAAGAGAAGTGGGTGTCTTAATCACTGAACTATATTTAGGTTAGACACCACTGCTCGGATCCTTTAATTTCTATTGATCTATAATAATTTTAATATATTGAGATTAGTCAGATAAATGAGAATGCTAAATTTCTAAAAAAAAAAAAAAGAATAAAAAAATGCTAAAGCTTAATTCTTTGGAATGGTGGGAGTATATTTTTTTTATTTCTGTAACTAATAATTTAAGAAAAGAAAAATAATAGATAAATTACTATATTTTAGTTCCTATAGTTTGTATTTTGGTTTTAATTTAGTTTTAAAAGTTTCAATTTGATTTTTACAGAAATTTGGTTAAATCTCTACAATGGTTTCTTGCTTGATTAGATGTTAATATTTTTATTTTATTTTTTTTTATTGGACCTCCTCTTTACCATGTTCAAAAGAAAATATGTTATAGTTATAATTGCGCCTCTTGGTTCTACACTACAATATTTATAATACTTGTCTATGCTTATTTTTGGATGAGTGCCACGTAGGTCTTCGTCTCCTAATTCAAGCTGAATCTGCACACATAAATTTAATATCGATGTGGTGCTCTTTTAAATGCACACTCTTGATGTCTAAGTTTATACTTAAGATTGGAGCAAGTCGATATGGAGCACGTAGAATAATTGCAAGAATCTGAAAGTCTGATGTGAAAGTGTGCGTGAATATTGCAAAAGAATATGTGCGCTCGAATCCACCTACTTTATTCCGCTCGGACGTTGTCCACGCAATTGATTGGGAATCCGGACGTGTGTCGCCTTAAACTTATCCGATAACAATATTATATTGTCAAAAGAAAAAGGAAAAAATGGTATTACGCACCAAAAATAATGTGACATTAGAAAACTATCCCCATTCAATAACTTTAGAAATATTTTGAGATATTTAACAAAATTCTAAAAGACCAATGTTACTTTTAAAATTATAAACACTAAATTGAAATTAAACATGATTTGTTTTCTTTAAGAAGCAAAATTAAGGACTAAATGTTTCTAAGAGTATAAAAAAAAAAGGAAAATAAAGGTGAAAATTTCAACGCAATGAATATGCATGCTTCATAATGAAGATATGATTGACAATTTTTAACCTCAGATCTCTATCAATAAGCCTCACTTGTGGACCCCACGTTGACTGAAATTCACACAAAATAAATAAAATGTTACTATCAAGATTTTTGCTTAGCCAAGACCCACCAATTTATTTTTCCTTCCTTAAGGTAACGTTTGCCTTATTTTATTGTCATCATAAATTATAGATTTAAAAACATATTAATTACTTTCAATTGTTATATCCTCTTATCGATTTTATAATTATGACTTATTATATATATATATATATAAACATTATAATGTTTTAGATTTCTTTTGTAAAATCGATTATAATCCACAACTCCTCTCCAATTGATCATATTAAATATATTATAATTTTATAAGATTGATCTTATTTCATTATCAGATACCTTGACCTAACGAAAAAATCAATATTGTTTATAATCGGTTATCATTTTTAAACTCATACTCTCAAAATTAATCTAACACAAGCTATGTACTAAAACTACAAGATTTCACATACAACACTTGTTTTTTACTAGTTATAATAAAAGAATTTTCAAAATTTTAGATCGTGAAGATTGATTTTGAAACGATAATCTATGCGAAGTCAATTTTCTTCTTATTTCCCCTTAGGTTTTCTTTAACATGTTCATCAGATTTGGTGAAATATGGATAGCTAGATATTTTTTATTATAGGGATTGATTTAGCTACTAGATTTTATGGTATGACTATATAGTTTGCTTGTTAATGAATTTACCTTGTTCTATTTATGTCTCTTTGCTTCATGCACATTTAATCTTTTAATCACCACCTAAAATTTAGTACACTCATAAGAGGTGATTAAGAACGAATGATATAGATGTATGATTGAAGGGTTCTAAAATCGAGAGATATATTCATAAAATTTTTTATAAAAATTTTGCTAAACACTTAGACTAATTTCGATRTCTGTCTGACTATTGAAATTRAATAGAAGTATTGATTCCATAATTAGCAAGTTAGTTTTAACCGATGCTAGAGAGTCAAATGAATGAAATTATTCTAGGATTTATAATCATTTGTTCTTAGCTAGGATTGATTTGTTAATTTGGTGGTCCAGTCGATAAAATCAAATCCGGAGTGTTTTCTCTCTTCCAATCTTTTTCCTCATTTTAGTTGACTTTCTACATTCAATTAGTTTAGAATTTCATACCTCGATTCCTTATTACAATTGAGTTCTAGTATCAACRTATAAATACTCTAGCAAGCTTGAAATCCAATTGTAAGGATGAAATTTTTTTTGCTTGATACTGTATGCYTGCGGTTAGCAACTCATATTAATACTGTATGATCAAAGTCTGAACCTTGACTTGGGTGAACGACGACCTGGTAGACAAGAATAAAGGACCTACAAAATAGAAGACACTCTGACGTTCAAGTCAGTGAATGACCGAGCTATATTCGAGAGAATATAGTTTTGTGTTCCGGGGAATGAAGCGGAAGGTTTCCATAGGCGGAGYTTCCGATAAGATTCCCGACAAGGCTTCAACGACTCTTTAAGGTTCYGAAATCTATGGTGTGTCGTCGTGAAACATGTCGGAGAGATTATCCTGACGAAGTGTTTTTTGCTCGGTTCGACCAGATAATTGGGATTTCGACAAGCGAAAGATAGGTTCGGCTCGATTGCTAAGAAAGGATCTGACCTGGACGTCAGTTTGGCTTGGCCCCATTGGATGAGGTTCGAGGCTACAAATCTTAGGTATCTTTAATTTTGTAACCARTCATAATTTTCACCGTATCAAGGACTGCCACGTGATTGGTGAGAAATCACCTCTATCAAATACAATTGCCAAACTACCTTACTTATTAACTAGTTTTTGAAAGATCCAATAAAATTGGAAGACAAAGTAGACAAAACAAAGATTTTCTTTTCTACGAGTTACCATTTAATTGACATAGTCCAATTGATTTAAAATTTTGTTTTCCAATTTGTATCCATATGAAAAAGAAAACAAAGCTTATGTATTCATGTTTGATATCAATAGTGTGTTCCATGTCTTTAAAATTATACCTACCACCAACAAAGGAATGGTGTCTTTTAGCAAAACAAAATGACAGACAATATCAAACAAAAAATCGACAACACCAAAGAATTTATGACAATAATGTGCAAGAGAAGAGAAAGTGTTGTTTTTATTTATTTATATATATTTTTTTTAACTAAACCCACAAGAGAATTAAATGAATTTTCAGAATATTCACCTAAAAACATGGGAATTTTCAATCAAACGCATAGTTACTATGTAGGCATAAA